TAAACCGGCTTCCATCCAGTTTCCACAGTCAATAAACTCTCAAATCGGAAATGGGCTCAGATTATATGACTAAATCATCTGTAATGATTTGTGGGGAGTAGAAACGATTTCGAATAATCTTTCTGCAGCTCCTCTGGGAAATTCACTGCTTCCTTCAAGCTGTTCTCATGGGCAATCGGGGCACTGATAAAGCTGTGGATGAAAAGGTTCATCAAGGAACAGATGATTCATTGTGACGCATTGATATACCCTCACTCTCCTAATAAATATAGATGTATTGTCCTCCCACATGTTTGAAGATTTCTTTCATTGACTGAAATACCATCCGTCCCCTTCATTATTGTAACTCTTGACCCAGAAAGGTCATCTGTGGGGATACATCTATATGGATCAGGCTCAATGTCAATAAAGCCATGGCAGTTTCCTATTTATCCCATTCTACTGACCTACTTTAAGATTTTGTTTACTTATACTGATCATGCATTTTTCATGGGTCACCATTGAGAGTGCAGCCAGGGGATACGCCAGCGATTAGGAATTATAATCAGGTGCTGGTAGCAAAAGAAGAAAGAAATTTGCATCCCATCATAGTTCAACCAGCCTTTGCACAGCCTGCACAGGCCCCTGGGTCAACTGGAAAAAATGGGCACCTGCGTGCATGCTTTTCTAAGAAGGGTCTCTTTAATATGCAAGATGGTACCCAGACTTTCATGCCAGAATTAGCTGGCAGGAAGTTGGATAAAGGTTTTCCATGGATGCCTAAACAAGCAGCTGTTGATCTGGCAGGCTGGCATGGATGTATTTGGGGGCGTGAGTTTGTTGCTGCATAGCTGCATGCTTTATATGCTGGTGAAACTTGAGGTTCTGCTCAAAAATGAGCTATTCTAGGATTTCAGTCACTTCAGTTGCACATGTTGCCTCCAGCTTGTTGCATCCACTGCAGATTCATTGCAATCGACCCGCAGAGGAGAAATCAATTGCAAGATGTAAAGGTTTGGAGAAAATGCAAGCTTTGTTCCATAACCTAGCAGGCAGCATCTTCAAAGAGAACATCCTATGCAACATGGAACTTCATGAATTACCAATTTGGAACACTCTATCAGGCAGCAACTCAAAATAACGTTTTGGGTAGTGTAGTTCTTCATACAGTTGTGGTACTTTAAAATGCACACAGAGAAATTGGGTAAAACAGAAATTTGGATAATATTACATTTTTTTTCACTTCATCTGCCATCTTGGGTGAATATTTTTACTGATTTTGTCGCAATGCTTTATGGGATACATTTGATGCTGCCTTAGAATTTGGCCAAAAGAAGACATCTTAAGCCCATAAGACACCAAATCAACATCAAAGAACTAGCAGTGGCGCTAGTTGAGATGCATGCATCTGGGCTAAAAAGTTGCGCTTGAACACACAAAGACTACAGTCAATGGCCAACTAGAACATACATCCTGTGCCTGAGTGAGTGGAAGTAACTCTCCATACCAGCAGGTGGCAGTAGTCTATATTCATCATTCAAAAAGGTAAATGAAAAACTAGGACTGTGGATATACAAACCATAAACAAAGCAGAACTTGCTTACCATTTTGAATATACAGTAACTCATGTTGACCAGTTGGTCTTCACTTTCTTCATTCCAGACAAACGTCAATATGAAAATATTTGCGTATTGGAATACTCAGGTAATATGAAGATCATTAGAGCGTTCTGTGTTTGACCCCTTGACTTCATTGTTTACTTGACTTCATCACTTTTATTTTTCTTCTAGTGCACTGGTTTGCTAAGCTAAACAGCCAGTCAGGGGTGTGTTTCCCAAAAGCAACTATGGTTACAAGTTTCATTGTAACCAACAGAGTTCAGCAGAACTTGCAATCATAGTTAGTTAACAATGCTTTTGGGAAACCCCAGAGCGATTCAATAAGCTCAATCGGGCAAAAAAGCCAGCGTCAGGGTCCGACTAGTGCCACCGTTGTGGAACATAACATAAAATCTGAACTGAGAGATGCTCAACGTTGGTTCGATGTTGGCTGACGACCAACTATCAGCTTGGTCTATCAAAGCCTTTACCTTTTGAAACAACTTTTGCATCACATGTGCACGTTCATTTTAATGATATTTAGTCAAAATCCACACCCCTTGTGAAAAACCCAACTTAATCAGGCTAGATGTGCCAACACAATTTGTAACATGTTTGGCAATTTGTAATCGTTGTATATTTTGGCGAATTTGTGGCTAATCCGTATGAATTTGTATAGTCTCATTCCTATGCTTTTGGCCAATCTGCTTACACCCCACACGTAGGGGGCTTACACTTTTACAATTTTCATGCGTTTCATATTGTACAAATTCATACAATATCACTACATCATAGTTACGTTTTCGCATGAGATTGGGTTGGATGTGCAGTAGCTGTTGTATGGAAGCTTGGTCAGTTTACCATGATTAGATTTCAGCAGTAGATCTTAGAGGGAAGCCCAAAGGGAAGTAATGGTCAGGTTTGAGCTCCTCTCAAGGTGGAGATACATATATCTGTGCAATACACTTGTGAATAGGAGGGATGCTGGAAGATGTGTATGTTGGGGGAAGGGAGTATATTTCAGGATGATGTGGAGGAAACACAATATGTCCAGTAATGGCTCGACTGTATGTTATTTAGAGCAGCATGATGTGCACTAGCTTTCAAAAGCTTGGAATTACCTAAACATGTTCATGTTTAGATGAAAACTGGCACGTTGAGATAGATAGATAGATAGATAGATAGATAGAATTGTTCTATTCCTTGAATTTTCCATTTGCAGCTATTACAGCTTTCAGAAATGTTCTAGCTGTGAGGTTTTGAGGGTAAATTTCAACCCACGCCTTCTGTAGCAACTCTGACCTTACACTTAAGCGCGTCCCACAGGAGCTCAGTGTGGTTTAAATCAGGCAATAGTGCAGGCTAGTCCATCAAAGACAGTACTCAGTACTCTCAGAAACTCCCTGTTTCTTCCTCAAATAGGTTTAGCATTGCTCAGAGGTATGCATCGGATCTTCGTACTACTGCATGATGAAATTTGAACCAATCAAGCACTGACCACAGGGGACGGCATGACATTGTGAAATAGAATGGTAACCTTTCTTGTTCCTTGCACTCTGCATCAATCTCGCAGCTCAGCAGCACCAAAGCAGCCCCATACAATTACACTTCATTCATGCTTGACAGAAGTCATCAAGCATCCTTTCATTTGTTGTCTTTCACATGCGCTCTCTTCCTTGATTTAAACCCCTCAAACTCATTTGTCCAGAGTACTCTTGTCAGTCACTCACCATCCAGTGTTTGTTCTTTCGCTCATTTATCGTCTTCTTTTATTTTCCAGTTTCAGCTTTTTAAACATGTCATTTAAAGTCCAGCATCCCTGAGTTCTTTTAATCTGCTGTGTATCTCTGCTTGAGCAGTTCTGGGTCTTTGCCCTCTTTTGAAATTTTCAGTTTCTTGGTAAACGTATGCGTGGAATCACCTTCATTTTTAAAAAATCATAGAATTTTAACGTGGAGTTACAGTATGTTGCAAACCAAGGAAGGAAAATGTACCTTCTTTGTTGAACAGAAGATTGGGTTTCAGGTGTGCTTTTACAAAGGTTTGAGCTGAAAGATCATTAAATCACACAGTTCAATATTGCAATTCGATAAAAATAATTAATTATAAATCAGCAGTACAGTGATTTGCAGCATTAGTAATGTTCTGGAAATTTATTTCAATCCATTTAATGCAATCTTGGTGAATAAAAGTATCAGATTCTGTCAAAAACATTAATATTTCTGTGTATTGTGTGTATATTATGTACTTCTAGTATATGTATGTTCTGGAACAGAACCACTAAATGAAGAGATCAACAGTGTTCTCATTACTATTTAGTTGCTGTAGGGTTGTGACTTAAATTCTTAGGTCTGGGACAAAATGTTTGGGCATTCGACAGAATGTAATGTAACTAAGTGCCAACTGCGTTTAAAAGTTAGTTTTTCCCCAGTTGGTTGTAAACTTTATGAGAAATGGCAACACAATGCCTGGTTTAAATTAAATTGTAAGAAGCAGCAGTGCTACTTGCATTGTGTTATGAATCGTGTTCTGACACATTTTAGAATGCAGCAATGAATGATATCAAGTTTGCGTAGCCAGAAGTGCTTGCATTGAGTTATAGATTACTGGACAAGTGTGTGATCCTTCAGAAATCACTCTAATATGCTGATTTGCTGCTCAAGAAACATTTATTATTATTATTATCAATGTTGAAAACAGTTTTGTTGCTTAATATATTTGTGAAAACCATTATACTTTTTTTTCAGGATACTTTGATGAAAATAAAGTTATCAGAATAGCATTCATTTAAAATCTCATTTTGGTAGCAAATGTTTTACTGTCACTTTTGATCAATTTAATGCATCCTTGTTGAATAAAGTTAATTTAATTTATCTTATTAAACCCAAACGTTTTAACAGTAGTGTGTTTTTCCCCCATATCCATTGACTGTAATCACTGTACAAAACATGCATTTGTTCGTTGCAAATCATTTAAAGGCACTGTCACACTTGCTATTTTTGATATAATAATTTTATTACAAAATTTAGACCTTTTTCATCTTTCAGTGCTGCCATGCTTTTAGCATATAACAATACAGTATAAAATCTCAACCCAAAATGAGCTAATTAAAAGCAGTTTTTTCATTTATGCTGTTGCAGCATTTAGATGTTCATGCCGTTTCTGTACACGTAACATTCCTTGAAAAATACAAACACCTGCCGAACACGGCACAATTAAAACGACTTTGAATTACCAGCCTATTCTTGCAGACCGTTTGAATTGTTACGAGGTGTAATCAACATAACGTTTCTGTAGTTATACAAGGAAAGAAAGAGATAAATAGAAGTACACTGCAAATAATGACAAAGGTGTCGAGATCTGATCTTTTCAACAGCCCAAGGCACCCAGGCTTGAAATATGTTGGAAATTATCAAGTTATTATTTTTTTTACAAACCCACACACACATACACAGACACACCAACAAAAAAAGAACAAACAAAAATGCTTAAGCAGGAGGTGATAAGACAGAAGAAAAGCATGAGAAAAAAAAGAAGAAGAAAAGAACACACTCAGCTTTGCTTCTTTTACATTCTACATCCGAAGTTCACAGTGAGTATCCCAGGCAGTGGGTAGATCTATCTAATAATCCTGATGGGGAACATTAACCTAAGTGGTTCAGAAATCTACTGCGAGACTACATGGCTTCCTCTTCGAAGGAAGTGGTCTAATGATCCAGGCTGTAAAGATGGAAGTCTGAGCCGTATCATGTTAAGTAGTTTTCCGGTAAGGCGTTGCTTGCCCAACAGACAACCAGAGAAGAGCAGAACCACGGTGCCTTCAAACTAAGACCAACACCAGCATTTGCCTTCAAGGTCCAGAAACAAATGACAAAAACGTGATTGTTTTAAGTGTTAAGAGACAAGAAATATTGAAATATCTAGAAAAGTCCAGTTGATTTTGATGTCTATGTTTGTTCTTGATTGACAATGTTCTTTAAGGATGCATGATTTGGTAACAGACACCTGGAAACTAATATCTCTCATTGGCTGGGAGATTTCTGTGCTCTTTAGTTCAGTTGGCGACAGGCCTCAAATGTCCATTTCGAAGCCCCTCCGTAGACCTCAATGCTGGTTTCCAACCAAGAGAAGACGTTCCCCACTTGTGCTTTGCTGCTGCATGTGGCCAGGTTATAAATCTCTCCCACGGACAGCTTTCGGTCCCAGATGTTGAAATTCGCCATGTCACCGACAAACGCTTGAGTAGCATCAAACCCTCCGCCGAGAGTATCCTGCAGGTGGATAACATTTATTTGAGATGCTGATAAAATAAACGCTGAATGCCTTCAAAGGCATATGATTGGTCCCTGTTAACCTTTGAAGCTAATCTGCCCATAAATGATTCATATGTGCTTTTCATCCCTACAGGCGTCTTTGAAGGTCTCTGCATTTCAAATGGGCCAAAATCTTGTTTATTGGTTGTTTTATAGAGTGTTTTAGAATTGACTGTTTTCAATGAGATCTTCTTATAATTGGCTCTGTTCCTAAACCTTTGGTTGCCTTCTAAAGGTGCGGTGATATTGCCATTGTTTCGTGGGTGAAATCAATAGGAATCCACCTGATCAGGAATTTCAGATCAGGGCAAAAGATTTGATTTGTTGACCAACTGAAAGCTGTTTGGTTTGAAACTGACTTCTGTGTGTGCTTCATATATCGCTACACTATTGACAATAGACATTGAACCTTTTTCGGCTGCATGTGAAACCTCGTGGAAATTTCGCTAATGTGACCACACCTTAGAGCAGCATCCTAACTAAAATGCAACCTCACAAGTGAAAATTCCACATGGACAGTTATGTAGGGTGACCATACGTGCCATTTTACCAGGACGCGTCCTGACCAGGATTTCTATATTGCCTAAAATATCTAGGTTTTGGCTTGTTTGCGTGTGCAGACCGATGACATCGTATGACATCAAAGTACCATACAGACGGTTATATATTTCGAAACGCTCTCGAGGTACTTTGATGTCAAACACTGATCGGTCTGAGCCGCACTGCTTTTAAGTCGAACACACCTAATATGTACGCGTAATTGCATCGCTTTGACCGTAGATCCCACCTTCTCACACGCCATGATTGGTCCATTATGTACAATGCTTGCATGTTATTTCAATTTAGCCAAAACTAGGTGTTTTACAAAGCAGCAATTAAACTTCCTAACTTTTGGAACAGCCTATGCCTAAGAGAAAGCCTACAATGCCTTAAAATACAGCTACGTGGGCAGCTCACTATGTTTTGGAACAGAGCCACTGTGCATTCTTCACTCATCATTAAATCATTGTTGTGTAACATCCTGAACTACCACGCCATACTTTGCCATATTGATGAGTGAATTAAGCTTAAACAGAGGATGCATACCTGCTCTTGTCCCAGAATCAATACCCCTTGTGGTTTGATTGGATGGTATGGGGCCAGACTGTCCCCATTTCCTCTCATTACACCATCCTGGTAAGCTTCCCACACTCCGTCTCGAGTGGTCCATGTGATGCAAATGTGATGCCATTTCCCATCATTGATCAGGAAAGGCAGCTTAGCAACCTACATCAAAAGAGGGCAAAAACCAGTAGAAACTTAAACATCATGTTCATTTGGATGCAGAGCAGACTGCCTGCTTTGAGTATTCAGTTTGTAACTACACTGAAAAAAACTAAGAAAAAGTTAAAATACGACTAAATGTTTAGTTTAAGAACGGCCAAATCAATGGTATTGAAGATTCGCAATAGTTATTTTATTATGTATCTATTTTATTTTAATCTGCGGTTTTCTGTCGAGTAATGCGTCTTTTAAAAGAGGATTATGCGCCACTGTTTGGCACCAATTTATTTAGAACATAGTGAGCTGATGTATTCTAAAATAAAATAAAGTTGTGAGAATCTATTATTTCATATTGATATAAACATCACTAAATTAAATTTACATGTCAAAATCCAGAAGTTTTTTTATTTATTTATTATTATTACATGCATAACAATTAAATGCGTTATGATGTTCATTAAGAAAAAAACTAAGAAAAAGTTAAAATACGACTAAATGTTTAGTTTAAGAACGGCCAAATCAATGGTATTGAAGATTCGCAATAGTTATTTTATTATGTATCTATTTTATTTTAATCTGCGGTTTTCTGTCGAGTAATGCGTCTTTTAAAAGAGGATTATGTGCCACTGTTTGGCACCAATTTATTTAGAACATAGTGAGCTGATGTATTCTAAAATAAAATAAAGTTGTGAGAATCACAACACAGTTCCATCTGCGTTCTCAAATAAATCCACTGTTTCCGACATGGAAGAAACCGCTCCAGGACAACAAACATACCTCCAGGTTTTCCAGCCTCTGCTTGAGTGACTGTAAAGTCCGCGAGAGTTGAGCCAGTGTGTCCGTCGGACCCCTCGACACATCTCCCATTGTGTTCTTAGTGCCCATTTCCTTCCGTCGTCCGGGCTCAGACGCGCTCTGACTTTCGCACCTTGTCAGCTTGGAAGTCAGTTCCCTGATGGTTTCCTTCTGGTTCATGATTGTTTCCTTTTGTTGCAGCACCGTCTCTCTGAGTTGCATGACCGTGCTCTTGAGATCCTCCCCAGGCACGCTGTTCTGCAGTGTAGCGGCGCATATGTCCATATCCTTGGGCACGGACGTGCAAATGAACTGGGTCTGTCCAAAGTCCTGGCTCATCCCGTCCGCCAAAAGACAAGAAAGTATCAAAAGTTTCCAGTGCATCCCTCTCGCTCCAGCCTCCATGTCGTGTTTGTTTCCGAAGTCTCTTCTGGACAAGTGATTTCAGCAGCACTCTTCCTCTCTGACAGCTTGTGCTGGTTGTAATCTGGTTGTGGTGCGCCTTGGCTTTATATAGCACGCGTATCTGCGGCGGTGAGCTGCATCACGCGCCTGATCATGATCTCCCGCCCTTGGATATTAAAGCAGAAAAAAACATCCAGTAAGTCAATAAAACTAGTTTTGACCCCAGCGGACGGATTTTCAGTTTTCTAAAGCTCAATTAATTCCACACAATCATTGGGAGATTTTCGTCTTTGCGGGAAAAAAATAATAAAATAAAATAAAAATACATAAAAGTATGATTTATTTTTTTTTATTTAGAGAAAAAGAAGTTTAATAAACTTAGGCAATATAATAGGCCTATATTTTATAGTAAGGTATTGTTGAAATTCTGTTTATTAAAAGTACCAAGTATAAATATATAATTATTAATTTATGGGAAAAGGGGCATTCCCAGAATTTCTTATTTGAACAATCATAACATATTCAATTAAAACAAGAAGTTAAGTTACCAGAGCACATTATTTTCTTAAACCACTCAGTGTTCTCTTAGGAAAAGAAACAAAGACTGAATAATTGCTCATCAGAATAAGCACTGTTATTTTTCCACAGAAAGCTTATTTATTATTTATCAGTGTTGCATTAGCTGGAAAACAGTCTCTCGCAGTATTATTTTTTAAGCATTTGTCTAAAAAAAGTTTAATAAACTTAGGCAATATAATAGGCCTATATTTTATAGTAAGGTATTGTTGAAATTCTGTTTATTAAAAGTACCAAGTATAAATATATAATTATTAATTTATGGGAAAAGGGATTGTTTCTTATTTGAACAATCATAACATATTCAATTAAAACAAGAAGTTAAGTTACCAGAGCACATTATTTTCTTAAACCACTCAGTGTTCTCTTAGGAAAAGAAACAAAGACTGAATAATTGCTCATCAGAATAAGCACTGTTATTTTTCCACAGAAAGCTTATTTATTATTTATCAGTGTTGCATTAGCTGGAAAACAGTCTCTCGCAGTATTATTTTTTAAGCATTTGTCTAAAAAATACAAATATAATCAAATCAATTTACTTTTTCATTTATTGAGTATAAAAGAGGATCTAAAATAAATAAAAATCATGTCTGGTTAACTTTGCAATAACATGAGCTTCTACAGCATCAAATTAACAGGCTGTGTGATCTTTCTGTATTGATTTAGAAACATTATGCTGCCATTTCCTGTCTGCTTTGTCCCCTTCACTAAATGGGTGTCTGAAAAGACTCATGAAGACAACAGCTTAATTAGTGATGAAGCCTAATTGCAGTTTCACAATGATTATTGATCCTCTACCGCAGCACGCATGCAGTGCATCACTGACGATAACATCAGTTCCAGCAGTTCTGTCATTGCGTAGTTTGATGGGTGTAAAATCTATTTGCAGCAGCTATAGACTACTCTGACAATGGCCATGCTTGTGTGACATTGCACATCTCTCATGACATCACACTGGTAGCTTTTTTCAGTGTTGCAGTGTGAACACCAAAATGCATCATGGTGGACTTAAAGTGAATCAAAACTGGCCGTTCCATGAATCAGAACTAATAAACTCATATAGCTAGTGCACATTATTACCTACAAAAAAGGGTATTATGGTAACACGCATAACACTAAAATAATGTAATAAATGAAGCAACAAATTTAACAAAAAACACCCTGATTTGCACATTTTTTAAAAAAAAGTGCATGTTCACGGTTCTCTGACTAGTTAATGGTCACAGGACATGCAGGTAAACAAATTAAATATTAAATCATGTTTAGTAAGTGTTTTATTTTGATTGTAGTTATTTTAAAATAATTTAAACTATTTTAAAATTATTTTTCTTTCTCTTTGTATTTTTATACGGTACAAGGTTATCCTAAATCAATGTGATAAACGAGATAGGTCAAAAGTAATCTAAAAGTAATTAAAAAGTAGTCCAATTATGATACCTAAAATGTGTAATGTAATGGATTACATTAACTACAATTTTGGTCATGTAATTTGGCTACAATTTGTAAGTAATCTACCCAGCGCTGATTAAACTAAATATAACATTTTTATTTTTGGATATGAATTGTTTCTTTATTATTTAAATGCATTTTGCTTCCACAAATAATATAGGTTTTACAGTTTAGCATGCTTTTATGCATTTATGCCCGCATTTATGCATGTAACCATGGTTCCCCGAGACGCTGCATCCTCTAGCTGACACTATGGGGAATGCTGCCAGCATGTCTGAAGCACATGTGCAAAAACTCAAATCCTATTGGTCCACGTGGCCTGTGACGTCATAGGCGGGTGCCTGGAAGTATAAAAGAGCACCTGCTGAATACGTAACTAACTTAGTTGTCTGAAGGAGACGTAAACAGACAGACCAAAGGCATGGCGAGGGGACGCAACATCTTGATCCCTCTCTGGGAATCATGGTTACATGCGTAACCCGAGACATTCCCCTTCTAGGGAACTTGCGCTGCATCCTCTAGTGCAGCGGTTCTCAATTCCAGCCCTCGCGTACCCCCGCTCTGCACATTTTGTATGTTTCTCTTATTGCTTCAGACGTTTGTTATATTTGACTGTAAGTGCTCTGCGAAGTGGACATTACCGGATATTCCTCCATGATTCCAGTTTGAAGGGAGCGTATATGTT